AACCTTGCCATTGCTGCCTGGAACCCTCCAAACTGTGCTTTGAGCTGGGATGCCAAATCTGGGGCCGTGCAGGTTTTTAAAAGCCCTGCTCGGGCAGGGTTGGCTTTGTGCAGGATTCCTGTCTGTCACCGCCGTTTTCTTCCCTCCTCTTTGTGCATCCATTTAGGTCTGGGCACTCCGGAACACGGACCTTTGTCTCGGTTCTGCAGCAGCCCGTAATGTCTACTGTAATGTCACAGCCCCGCAGATGTCAAGGTGATAAAACAAGAACGGAAGCACTGCGGAGGAATTCTTGGAGGGCACAAGCAATGTTTCTAGTGGTCCAGTTTGAAAGCAGTATGTAGTTATGAATGCCATGAAGTCTCTTGTTGCATGACATTACAGTAGACCTTTTGGGAGTAACACTCCTCATAATGTTCCGAATTAGTTATGGATGCCTTGATTGGTTTGCTGGGTGACTAATGTCTATTTGTCATGGTCACGAGAGAGCAATGCACTTTCATTACGTCCTGCTGCAGTATTTTCTCCCAACTGCCTCCTGCATGACCAGCTGCTGCAACCAGAGGTGGAGGTTCAGTGGCCAGAGCATGTTACATTTCACTCAACTGGACTTTGTGAAATGTGTATTTTCCTTACAACAAACTCAAAATTTAGCGAAGAAAAAAGGAATATTTTCTCTAGCAGAGAAAAGGCACTAGCTGGTTTTTCTTTCAAACTTTGCAGTTGTGACCTGATTTCCTTCCTCAAACTTCTGCAAAGTAAGGTGGGGGGGGGAATTGCTTTTGCTTGTGCAACTTGATGCCACTTCCCTATTTTAAATGGCGATCTTAATGATCACAACCATGGGTTGGGGGAAGCAGCTGTTCTCCGTGATATTTTTACCGTAATCCATGAGCTGTTTCCTGCAACCAATTGCCCTTTTCTGGCAGAGAAGCAATTGTAAGGCAGTCAATTAATTCATGAAGCTACCCCTTTTAGGAACAGTTTTCCTGTGCTGCTTATCTGTCCCTTCTGGATTTAATAACAACTTCTTTTTTTCTTCTCATCTGTCATTTTTTCTGATCCGGGATACATGAAAGCACTAAACAAATTCATTCATTTGGTAAGGTCAGTTTACCACCTGTTGAAGGACCTGAGTATTGAGCGTGCTTCTAGTCAACGCCGTCCAATAGTAATTCTCAATTTCATCTTCTTGGCTAACTTTTCATAAAATACAACTCTGAGTTTCAAATGTTGTTACTGTGATGTGTTGCTCAGCCAGAGTCATAATGGATTCTGAGAAGGATTTAATTTCTTGAAGTCGTACTGAGTTAATTTTAAGCTGTGTATCAGCACTTGAGATTTATTTTAAATCCCTAACTAATTAAAAGATTACATTTTAAAAATAAATAAATCAATCCCCAAACCTGGGATTATTACGGTAGCATGCAAACGCACCCATTTGGCAGGAAAGTTGCAAACCTCATGGTGTTCTTGTGGCAGAGGCTTTGAAAAGGAATTTTCTTTAGAAACGTTGAATTTGGTAATTTTACAGGCTGGTGGTTTTTTAATACCCTACTGCAGGCTTTCTGGTCTTTCCCTTTTGGCAAAGCCCCCCAGATATTGTTTTTAAAGCTCTTCTGTGCACAGCTAGTCTCGCGCAATGCCGGGAATAGGGATCCCCTGCTCCAGAGAGGGGAACGCTGCTGGGAGGAGGAAGCCTGTGGTGCAGCCTGCACAGACAGTATTTACAAACCTGGATTAGAGGTGTCATAAAGTAACACATTTGAGACAAAACCTGCTCATTTCTCACCCTGCTGGGTGGTTGAGGGAAAGGTGTTCTGGGTCAGGCCCTGGGGTTATTGTCCTTTGACAGCTCCTCCCCGGCCCCCTTTGAAGGGTCACACTTTGTTTTTTTTTGGTTTTTTTTTTTTTTTTTAAAGTGGAGCAGATGAAGTGCATTTAAAAGCATTGCTGAGGAGAGCTCTTGCTCTTTGTTACATGTTCAGGAAAGCACCGTGGTTTTCTCTGCCTTGTGAAGATGGTTTTGTGTCTCTGACCACAAGGCAGTAGCTTTTCTGGAAGTGGTTGGACTCTCCCAGCCGAACTGCAGCTTTGAGCAGCATGGCAGCCTTTGGCCAGGAAGCCTCTCTGTCCATTTACATCCTTATTTATTCTCATTTTGATATTTTGACACTATTCTTTGTGGACCCTGGTGAGCAGCTGAGCTGGTGCAGCAGTGCCCTGCCCGAGTGTGGGAGTTGGTGCTGCTGGGCTGTGCATCTCCCTGGCGTTGTCTTCTTCTGCCAGACCCTGGGGAGCTGCTCTGTTACAGGCAGTGGGGCTTCTCCTTCTTTTGTCTGGACTCTGCTTGCTTGGTTTTGTGAATTTTTGGGAATAAATATGCTAGAAGTTGCTTGAAGTTAGTGGATCTCCCGCACTGCTTCTAAATAATATCTCACTTTCCCCATCCTTACTCTGTTCACTTGTTAGACATGGTTTTTGGATGTGACTATCCATGTCCCATCAGGAAAAAGGTGCACTTTGCACATGATGCAGACAAGCATCTGTTCACCTCTAACACGGTGCAAAAAAATTTCTGCTCAGTTTGGTTTAACTTCCCCTTTGTGCATCTGCTATTTCCTCTTGACTCAGATAGCTCTGGCCTGAGAAATGTGTGCTGTCCTTGTCCAAAACAGCCGCGCCTGTGCTTCCATCTCAAGTTCCTCAGCTCGATGACAAGACTGAGTTTTATTCTAACTTGGTGGCAAGACTGAGCTTTACTCTACCTTGCTGCTTCGCCCGCTGAGGGAAGGGGGTTTCCTCCCCCGTGGAGCTGGAAGCCCACGGCTGCGCTGGTCCCTTCTGCTTTTGGGCATCGGGAGCTCACACAGAGCCCCCACCATCTCATTTTCCTCGCTGCCCTCGGAGTGCTGCCGCTTAGTGAGCTAATGGAAGTACAAGATAGCTGGTTTAAAAAATGAGCTCCGGTTTAGGTGATCAAAAGCAGGCGGTGGGGCTGCCTGGTCCCTGCGGTCAGCTGGCGGCTGCTGCTGCTGCTCATGCTGCTCAGGTTCAGCGTGATCAAAACTGAAAGGTGAAGTTTGTGGTTTAATTTGTTCAAATGGATTTTTTTTTTTTTTTCCTCCCTGCAGTAATAACTTACTGTAAAAATTCTAAAACTAAACTGACAAGCACTCACGCAGCCTGCAAATAATTACTGTAGGCTCCTCTTAGAGGATTACTCTGAGCCCTGTCTAGGAGCAAGAACGGGTAGTCACTGACGTCTCACAGTATTAGTTGTTTTTTTTCTTTTGATTTAGGTCTATATTTGTATTTAGCCTGTAATGTGACTTCTGAAATACGTTCGTGCGCATATGCTTTGCATGGTTCTTTTTTAATTAGATAAATTAAAATGAATGGGCTATACATGTCAGTTGGACGTATTAATTTTTTTAAATCCTATTTCACGTTATGGCATCCAGGAGGGATTACACAGACTTTAATTTTTGGATGGCTGGTTTATGGCTTTCCATCCACAACACTTTCACTTTTAATAATTTCAAAACCATTTGAATCACTGAGACAGTCCTTTTTTTAAAAAAAAATACTTAAATTTGGCCATTTAGGAAATAGTGGTTCTTTTATTTCTATAACTTAGTCTGTTTGGATCTATACCTTAATTTGTTGCTAGTAGATGTCTCCAGGTCAGTAGTCTTCAAAAGCCAGTATCCAGCATTGTCTTACGTACAAAGAATCAGAATAGTGTTGAATAGGAACAGCCTTCTGCATGGAGATGGGTAGGAGGCATATATTAAAAGATGTAACCTCCAAGGTTGGGGAATGTTATCACCAAACAGCAGAAGTGAAATGCCAGCCATTTCTTCTGCATATTTAAACACAAAAGAAGACGACCCCGTTCCAGACCTCTCCCTCCTGTCTCTCTTCTCCCATCGCTCATGAAAAGGCCGTTGCGGCATTCCCTGGAAACTAAACCCCTCGGAGTGGGACCTGGGTTCTGGCCGTGGAAGTTCAGGAGTCTCTTGCTCACCCCGCTGCTACTGCTGTGGTTCTTCAATATTTTAAATATTGCTTCCCGTGTTTTTTACAAGGCTTGACCAAGAGAGGTAGCAAGGATTAGCTAGAGTGGTTTTTATTTCCTTTCACACAGAGGAAGCTGGGGTATTAGGTACATCAGCAGTTTGGGGGGGGGTCGGGTGCTTCAGGATATTAAGGGGCTCCATCAGCAAAATGTAGACCCACTTGGCAAAGCTGATGTCTTTGCAACAACTCCGTTGGCATCGCTAGACTTGTCTCAGTTGAAGTGGGAACATCTCATTAGCTTGTTTTCTTGGGAAGTTTATCTGTGTAGTGAGCTTGACTTCAGCAGCATGCTGGTGGCCTTGGTCCTCTGGCTGTAGAGAGGCAGGTACGGGTCAGGGATGGGTGGCTGTGGCAGTCTGTTGGCAGTATTTACTCCTGAAAACAGTATTTTGCCCTGCCCAACTGTGTCCTAAAAACTGTCCATCTAAGCAAAATATTTCTGTGATGAAAACAAGCAGACATGGTAAATTCAATGACCAGCAACACCCTTCAATTAAAATTTTAGCTTGGTTATCTTTAGCTGTTGCTGGCCACCATAGTGAAGCACAGACAAAACCAGAGCTCCCCCGGCCAGGCAGAGCCCTCTTCCCGAAACACTGGGGATGGACAAAGGGACGGCGTCACAACAAATGCTGAAATACAGGCAGCAAAGCCACCCCTGCATCCGCAGGGGAGCAAAGCCCTCCTGTGCTGAGTCTCTGAACCCCTTTCTTGCACCATCGGGAGTTTCCAGCTACTTGGTGCTGGAGAAGAGAGTTGCTGATTTGTTTCCTCTACTGATAGATGAGATGATTCAAATTTCATGAAATTGTGACTGCTGGAAGAGTTACTGGAGAATTGGGAAGGATCTTCCTCCACTCGGAGGTGTGCTCTGGGCTGTCTGTGTATTACAGCTCTTTCTTGTTTTCCCCCTTCAGACAGGCAGAATTGACAAGTCCTACCCAACAGTGTGTGGCCACACAGGACCGGTGCTGGACATAGACTGGTGTCCTCATAATGACCAGGTCATCGCCAGTGGCTCTGAGGACTGCACCGTCATGGTAAGTGTATTTCATTTGTTTTGGGGGGGGTGGCATTTGCTTCACTCTAAAAATGCTGCTGCAAATTACACTTGTATTTCTGAAGACATCCCCTGGTCCGACGCCGAGGGCAGGGTCCTTGCTGGTGGGCGTTCTGCACCTTTTGTCTCATCTTAAGAAATGATGCTATGGTGGCTACGGGACCTAGCTAAAAATTAAAGCAAAACTAGTGGACTGAGCTTTATTACCTGCATAGCAGCAGAATTTGGACTCTCACAGTTGGTACTTTCTTCTCACGCTACTGTTTGAGAAGGTGCAAGCAACCTCAGGCTTTTGGGACGAGTCTCTTCAGCCCTGAGATGGAACTTCGTGTAACGGACTTGGCCTGTGTCCTCCTGGCTCTGTCTTCAATTGCTCTTCCATTTTCCCTTCTCCTGGGGATTTGTCTGAGGTTTGGGAAGAGGGAAGAGAAGAAAGAGTGCCATGAGGTGGTTTGATTTGCAGTGCTTTGCAGAAGGCAGTGGTCATTCCTTACCTCAGTATCCTAATAGATGCAGTGGTGTGTGTTGGGGAGAGGTGGGGATTGGAGGCAAACAAGCCCATCAGGTTTCAGAATCGCTTCAGCCCTTGATTTAAGGGCAACGCTTTTATTTTTTCCTGTATCTGCAGGTTGTGAGTAGATGTTAGAAGGGCTTTTTGTAATATATAAATTAAAAATAATCCAAGTTCTGCACCTGCCAACCTTGGTCCTGAGACCTGTTTTACCTCAGTCAGAGCCCACTGAACAATAGACGACCTTGCTCCGTGATGGATGTGGAATCCTGTGTATGCAAACACAGCAGAATAAGTGAAAGAAAATCCTTGTAAGATGAAATAATGCCAAATAACTTCAGTGATCTTTGGCCATATTTAGAAATGCTGTAGGCTGAATGTTATATTGAAATCTTATTATAGATCATGTCAGATAAATTCCTTTGCTTCTGTTCATCGTTAAAATGTTTGGGAGGGGATTCATCCCAAGAGGCTTATCCTGGGACAGCTCTTGCCTGTGATCTCTCAGTCTTGGAAGCTGAAGCATGTTAACAAAATGTGCTATATTTAATATTAAACAAAACAACAAGCTTCTGTGTTTGTAACGTTCACTACTGGACTAGAACTAAGCTTTGAAGGATGCAGGAATGTTCCTCCAGAAACCAGGATCCAGAAGGGCTGCGAGTCGGAAGGAACGGTCTCTGAAACATGAGCATCAACAGAAGCAGGCGACGCTGAGGTCCGCAGCTCCCTTCTTGGAGGCAAAATAAGTCTCTAATCCAAGTGCAATGAGAAGTATGTGGTGAGGCTCCAGAGGGATAGAATTACGTAGAAAAACCAACGGTGTTCAATTACAAGTTGTCCAAATGCTCCTAACGTAGACACAAACTTGTCTGTGAGAATCTGAGCCCGCAACGGCGCGCACGAGCTCCGTGGGGCCTGGGTTCACGGCGGGTTGTTTGCTCGGAGGTTGCTGCTTATCTGCACACACCAAAGCTGGGGGTTGAGCTTCCCCTCCCTCCCCGGAGGCGACACGCATGTGGACAGACACCAGGGTGTAGCTGGCTCTGAGTTTACACACTTGTGTTGGTGTACGGGACCGGTTGGTGTGACCGTGCCTTGCGTGGGAGGGTGAAGTCAGTGAGTCCTTGCTGCGCTCGCAGCTTACGCAGCTCGTGATTTGGAAGGTGTTAGGCACACGTTAGCTGGAGGTTTAAAATGCAGCGGAGCTGAGTAGCAATGAAGGGAGCAAAGAGGACTAGCTAAAGACTGAACTTGAATCTCCTGTTAAGTATGACATAGCTTCTGACAGGAAATGATGTATCCCAAATCTTTTGGGACGGTTTTTAACTGGGCTGGACAGAGCTAGAGTATGTAGTGTAAAGAACAACCCTTGCCTGGACTGCTTGGAAACAAACTGGATGAGCTAATGAGCCTTCCCATTTTTAATTGCTTTTCTGTCCTGGCCCGGGTAATTTATCATCCTGTTTTCTTTGCTTTTCTTCAATTAAGGTTTTAGAGTCGTGCTTCCTGAACAGCCTGTCACTGAATAAATTCATCTTACATTAAAGGATATGTGGCTGTTCATCGGCTCTGAACTCTTCATTATAGCCAATGTGAAATGAGAAAAAGTGATGTCGTAGAGGAAATTATGTGGCTTTCTGCAGGAGTGCCAGCTGCTTTTTAAAAAAATACCGTATGTTTGTAAAGCCCATCTGTGCCTTGGCACTCAAGGGCTTAGGATCTTACCCTCTGCCACAAAAGATCTGATCAACGTTGACTAGATGAGTGCTGAGGGATAGAGCATGGCTTTGAGGTGCTAGCTAACCAACGTCTCTGGGGTGAAGAGGGCCGATTCCCTGCAGCCGTAACTTTGAACTGTCTGCAGCCTTTGTGTTGCACAAGGAAAGTTAACCTGGCCCTTTCCAAAGCTAGAAGCATTTTCATACAAGTAAAAACTCAGATTTGCAGAAGGTGGAAATACGCTGTGAGCTCCATATAAGCCTTGAACAGGTATGATATTTGAGATCCTTAGAGCTGAAATAAGGGACTGGGAAAGAAGGGATCTTTTTTTGATACTGCTGGGCTTTGTAGCTTGGACAGCTTTAGAGGTTTAACTTTTTGTAGCTGCATTGAGATTTTTTTCTGATGAAAGGCACTTGATAGGTGTGGTGTCATCTGGCAGTTTCAGGTGATACACTCATTAATCTTGCTGTCACAACTAATGCATTCAGAAATGATTTGGAGGTAGAGGTGGAGAGGGGGCAATGCTTAGGACAGCTCAGCCTTGCAAGACCACCTTTGTCCAGGTCATGGTGCCGGTGGGTATAAGCACATCCCTGTCTGATCCCAGCAGAGGGAAAAGTAGAATGGACCCCCCTCAAACACTGCCTGCTCTCTTCTCTGTGGGAGAGTAGGCTCGGGGAGGAGCAAACCCTCTTCCTTCATCCCATGTCGGGTATTCCTCGGGGCACGCGTTGGCCTCCGTCCCCTCCTGCCCTTGCCAGTTGGGAGCGCGAAGCCAACAGACGCCTTTTGAGTTGGCAAATACAACTGGCTTGAAGTGGTTCGAGATACAAAGAAATACTTGTAGGCTGCAAGCGTTGAAGTATTTCTTCTTTTTGCCTTGTTCTCCAGAACGTGGCCCACTTCATAAGTCCAGCGTAACACAAGAGCCCTAATCAGAGCCACGATGCTGTGTAGGTAATGGCAGTGGCCTCTCTGCCCTATTTGCTGGTTTCTTGCCAAATTTCTCTCTTTTTCAGAAGAGCAGGATGGCTAGTCCCTGTCTCCTCCGTTCTGAATTGCTCTCATAAAGACTTCCTTTAAAACACTGCTGTGCAGATACCTTCTGTGGCCTCTTCTGGTGTTCTCTTTGAAGAATTGTTTTTTTGTGCCAACAAATAAGGAATTACTTAAGTATTCATGCTTGATATTCTGCTGAATGACTGTAATGTACTGCAGGTTTTTTAATTCGACTGGAAAATGTATGATTATAGGCTTGTAGATGGTATCAGAGGGCCTTTCTCGGATATGGAAAGTTTGCTTCATCAGAGGGTGAATACTAATGAGTTTGCATATAACAGCCAGAGTAGAGTTCATTTGATTGAGCAAATTGTTTTAAAAATTAAACCAGTGCCCTTGCAATGACCTGGGACACCAGACTGTTAGCAGACAGTCGAGACGTGGCGCCAGGACAGGATGAGCCAGGACCAGGTAGGTGTGGAGAAGGTCTGGCTACAGAAAATGGGTGCACAAAAGTGCCTTTTCCTGCAGGAATGCAAGAGCAGGGACGTAGATAAAACCCAGGGCTCAAACTCATTTGTTTCCTCACACAAGGTGAATTTAGGAATTAATATTGTTTCTAGGAATTGACTTAACCTTCTCTGCAGGTTGGTGCAGAGCCAGAAGAGACAGGTTTTGATTTTCTCTAAAGGGTATAAAAAAAGTGACAAAAAAGTTTGCTTTGTTTTCTTTCTCACATGCTGTTTGTGCAAAACCTTTCCCTTCTGCTCTTCCTCTGAGACCCAAACCTCCGCACGCCACTGCGGGGTGACTTCACTTCCTCGATCACAAACAAACCAGCCATGTTAACTTAAAAAAAACCCAAACCCACAGTGCAAAAAAACAACCAACAAAAAACCAAACCAAACCAAAACAACATGCAGAAACCCCCACAAATTGACAAACTGTTACTGATGTCTAGTTAATCTTGCAATATTTTAAGGTTTCCTTTGTGTACTCATGCTGAGCGCTCACCTTCAGCAGGCTGGGTCCTGCAGCCAAAGAGAAAGTTCCTTAATTTGCCCTGTGAATCTAATTTCATCCCACGCTGAAGACAGGCACCCCACCCTGTGCAGGAATGAGTGGGCCAGGTCGCTTGGGAGCATACCCTGACCTTTCACACTCCTAGCTTTTTGGGTTTTTTTGCAATACCAAGCAGGATTATTAGGTCAATAGTTTCTGTAATCTGCAAAGGATTACACTCGTCTGCAGCTGCTGCAAACTATAAGGGCTTTCCGTTAAAGAAAAAAAAAAAAAAAATCTGTCCTCCAGAGGCTTTTAAAAAATCCTTTTTATTGGTATTTTGCCTCTAATACCTCCCTTTCCTCTCCCACCCCCCCCGCCCCCCCCACTTGCTGGCTCACGTTTAAACTTGGTGCTGGAGTTTTCTGGCACACGTGTTACTTTGCTACGAAGCTGTGCTTGCCCGGGAGGATCCCTGTAGTGTTCCTGGCTGAGACGGCGCGAAACAGGAGCGGGGATCTCGGGGCCATGGGCTCTTTGCTCCAGCTGCCCCTCGGCAGGGAGGGGGCTGCTCTGTCCCCTCATGGCTTGTCTGCAGGTCACGCTTGGCCCAGAAGCTTGTGCTGCTCCTGGGCCTTTTTGTGAATAAATTGAATTTTCTAAGCTTCCCCCCACCAAGAGAGCGAGGCTGAGTTGGGGCAGGCCACTTTATCACACCGTTTCTCTCAGGGGTTGGGGGGGAGGGAAGAAATGGCTGTGTTCACCCAGGCTTGCCATTTTTAAGGGCTCCTCAAGACTCTGGAATGACCAGGTGTCCTGCTTAATTCTCAGCGGAACATCAACTTGCGTAGGTCAGTCTTGGCAGCCGTGGCCTTTTCATTTAGTGGAGGAGTGGGTTTGGTGGTTTTTCTGTTTCTCATGCCCACGTCAGCTGTGCCCCAGCATCCACGGGCCACGGAGCTGTGGGACCCGAGCTGCTCGTGCCGAGCATCCTCTGCCCCAGTGTCACCTAATGCTCCCCGGCCTCTCCTGCCTTGCCTCTTCTCCTGGTGTCTCCCAGAGCTCGTGTTCCCTTTCCAACTTTCTCCCTGGCTTAAGTAAAACCTGTTTTCTGCAGCACTGCATCAGTGCTTTACCACTGTGTACGTCCTGAGGTGGTTCAGCTGAGAGACCTGCGTGCAGTTATGACATTAAGTGCAGGTACTGGTTTTAGCTGACTGATAAAATTCCCCTGTCAGCATACGTGTTTTAAACTGTTGCTACTGTCAGGTTGTTATTCCCTGACTGGCAAGAAGAAAGCTGCTTCTATAAAAATTGTCGGCTTTGTGTAACCCGCTTTTACCGTGTCGCGGGCAGGTGAAGGGATTCGTTGCGGTTCACAAGGCGCGTTGTGTTTCGGCACAATCCCCGGCGAGCGTCCTGTGGCTGCGGTCGCTCGCAAAGCTGCCGTGGAATTGGAAGCGAGCAGGATGACATCCTGCTTCTCCAGGCTGAACAGCTCCAGTTTCCAACCCAATTTTTCAAACGTGATCGCTGGGAAAAGCCTCGGTTTATGTCATCACCTTGTTGCTAGCCCTGTTCCGTCAGGCAGGAAGAGAAAGAGGGATTTTTCAACCCTTGAAGAGAAATTCTCTGCTGAGGTTTTGTGCCTGTCGCAGGTTGTTCCTCCTGGGGTGCTGAGGGTGAGAAACAGTGTGGAGAGCTGCGTCAGTGAAAAGTGAAATCGTTTTAGCGTTATTTAGAGGTGAGCTGGTACACACTGAGAATTACTGCATCTCAGAGGTTTTTATTTAAGGAGTAGGTCATTCCTGCGAGAATGGAGAAACTGGGATTCATGCAAAAATCCGTGTTGCCCTTATGCATCTGCTGGCTCTGAGAGCTCGCTTGGGCATGGTGGGCAGGGTCTGGCAAGCCCTGTTCTCTCACGCTGGAAAAAGCAAACAATAGAAGGCGAAGCAAATGTGCTCTAATGCTGCCACCTACCTATAGGGAGCTATAATTGCTCACTGATGGGCTTTCTATTTAATGTTTTAATACACCCTATGTAGGTCAAATTCAGTTCAAAGATGATTGTCCAGTGGTGAATTGCAGGAATAGATTTGGTAGGGCTGATCCTGCCCAGGGGCACGGGGTGATGGGGTTTGTCTCTCCTGTCCCTGGCAGGTGCAGAAGCCGCTTCCTTCGGTGCATAAACCTGCTCTGGCTCTGCAGCTGCAATTCCAGTGCTCTGCGATTCTTGGGGGTCTCTTCTCCTTCCCGGTGGCACTTTGCTGAAGAAAGGTTGTGTAGCCAAGCAGGCAAGATGTGAACAGGCAGTGTGCTGCATTCGAAGGCACTTTCTTCAAGGCTAACTTGGGCTGCGTTAACCTTTTCCAGGACCAAACTGCTTTTCCCCGATTCAGTGTCATCCGAAAGGAGGCTCTGAACATCATGTGAAAGCTAATTGCCAAGATTTCTGAAGAAATAAAAAGTAGGCACCACTATAGCTGCCATATCATCCCTCTGAGGGACAAGCATAATTTGAAAAGACAGCGGCTTGTTCAGATGGAATTTGAGCTGCAAGGCAAAATTTGTTTGAATCCTCAGGCAGCATCTGAGAGGAATGGATCTCCGGACACAGCGATATCGGGGCGTCTGCAGCCTGAGGAGCCGGTGGTTACGCATCGGCAGCCTGAGCTGGGGAGGATGTTACACACAGCTCAGGCGAAGGTTTATTGGTGGCTGGGAACGGTTCCCTCCCCGATTTTCTCTTCCTGTTTATCTTGAGAAGTGACAACTCGGGAGTTCTGCTGTGGCATGGCGCAGGATGCAGGGAGCAAACGAGTAACGCGCCCTGGGACGTTACTCCTGCAGAGGAGACGGCCCGGGGCTAACCATCTTTCCTTTCCCCTTTCCAGGTGTGGCAGATTCCCGAGAACGGACTCACCCTGTCCCTGACAGAGCCGGTGGTAGTGTTAGAAGGCCATTCCAAGAGAGTCGGCATCGTGGCTTGGCATCCGACGGCACGCAACGTGCTGCTCAGTGCAGGTACGGTGCCTCGGGGACAACAGGCGTTTTGCTTGCACGCCAGGTATTTTGGAGAAGAGCTTGTTGATTCCTTTCCCTCTTTCCTCTCCCAGCTGCTTAGGGCCGGTGGATCACAAGACTAATGGCAGTGCCTGGGGACACGTGGCTCCACAGCCCCCTCCTTATCTTGGCGTTTTATTATCTTCAGTTTACAGGGACAAGGAAAACGTCTGGAGGCATGAATTACAGTATTAAAATTGTTCCACTCTTTATTTGATCTGCAAGTTTCATCTGCTGATAACTATTTACATCTACACTCTCCTCATCCCTGTTTTCATATACTTTTATAAAAGGCCCAACTGTTTCTCCTTTTCACTGATCCCTGCAAGGTATCCCAGAGTCTGGCTGTTCCTTCCACAAACTTTAATTCTGAGCATTTTCCAGGTCATCTCCTGGACTGGTGCGGTCTATGCAATGAGATTCTTTTGACCACTGGAAAACAGTCGCATCATTATGGAAATAAAATGGATAAGTCATTATCCATTAGCCCAATCGGAGACTTTCATAGCATGACCTTTAGGTTGGATCCCAATAAAAGAAGCCAATCCTTTTGGCTGGACTGTCAGATGAGCTGTGTGTTTTCTGTTGATATAAATGCCTTCTGAGGTACCAGTTTGGTTTTAATCTAGTTTCCCCAAAATGCTTGGAGTTGCAGGCCTTGTGGCAGTTAATGTAATGAAACTCCATGTGAGAACATACAAAAGGAGAAGGTGTTATTTTTTTAAGTAGTTTCCTCCGACTCCTGTACTCAGAAGCAGCAAGATGTGTGTCCAGGCTGTCCAGCCAGGATTACTTCTAAGAAACACAGAGGAGAAAGGATGCTGTCAGGTCGCTGCAGTCTCCAGGATTCTTCCTGGTGACAACAAGCTGATTTTGAATGTCTTCTGTGCCCTTTGGGAGTTCAGAGTGATTGTTATCTTTTGCCTCTTACATGCTTTCACCCTTCCAGAGCCCCAGGAGAAATTGCTCAGTCACACATTGTGCTTTCCTTCCCTTACCTGGTCCTCCAGTCCTGTTCTTTGTTTAACTGTCATCTTATCTTAGGCTTTATTCTTTGTCTTCTTGCTGTCTGGTCCTTGAACAAAACCACCCACCTGATGGTTGTAGTCCTTGTGAAACTGCTGACCTCAGCTTTTGCTTCCTGCCATTCTTTTTTCTCTTTGTTCCGCTGTTTCTCCTGCTGTCACTTCCCTATATTCCATCCGTGCCACTTCTACACTTTCTGCCACAAATCTCTCTGACCTGAGAAGGCAACGACTGCCTGCCACCCAGTGTTGTCACCTATAGAGTTGTAAGAACATTGCCTCTTTGCCCTTGGCATCTCCTGCTCTGTCGTCCTGCAGCTGAGCCAGGACCCAGGAGCTCCTGCACAAAGCTGCTGTGGCAGCAGCAGCCAGGGCACATTTCCCAGCCCTCCTTCAGCTGCTCCAGCACCTCCAGCTTTTCCCTTCAGCTTCTTCTCTGCCAGGGACCTCTCCAGTCCCTCCTGCCTGCCCCATGTGTGCAGGCAGCACGCTGCCTGGGGTGCTGGCAGTGCCCAAATATTCCCAGATAAACTGCCTTTCTTTGGGACAGCTACAGCACCTCCGAGGAAGTGTTCGATGATTTCACGGGAGGAGTTTTGTGCCTTCTATTGGCTGTTTGGTCCCTGCTCTGAGCCTGTATTTGAGTGAGGGTGTGCAGCCTGGGGCTCTGCGTACATGACAGTGCACAGAATGCGTTGAAGAGTCAGCACTTGAGGCTTTAGAGCTGCAGTAGATTTTATTCTTTGTTCCTTGCTGCTGGGGTTTTGGTTTGTGGGTTGGTTTTTCTTTGTTTGTTTGTTTTTTTCTTTTTTTCTTTTTTTTTTCTGTATATACCAGTGTTGTGACTTTACCTGTTGTTTTCTCTTTCAGGCTGTGATAATGCAATCATCATCTGGAATGTGGGAACAGGTGAAGCCCTCATAAACTTGGATGACATGCACGTGGATATGATTTACAATGTGAGCTGGAATCGCAATGGCAGCCTAATCTGTACAGCTTCTAAAGACAAAAAAGTTCGAGTTATTGACCCCAGGAAACAAGAAATTGTTGCTGTAAGTTTGCATGATAATTAAAGAAGCAACTGGATTTCACTCCTGCGGAGTTAGCAAGAGCATATAGAGAAAGAACCTTTTTGCTTAGTGTATACCATGTTTAGTCATGTTTTTCAAAGTGAGGGAAAAATTACAGGAGGGATAGCAGTGGCTGAAGGATTTCCCTGGGTTTATTTGGATTAGTGTTTGAACTAGGATTTTAGGGCTCAGTTTTAAAACCTGCAGGAGCGTAATTCCACATCTAATCCTTTTGTATAATTACAGTTCCAAAGTTCTGTATGCAAAGTGGAGATTTAGCAGCCTGCGTATGTGTCGTAGCTTGCAAAGAAGTCTTCCTTCAACCTTGCCAGAGTTTGATCGGCAAAGCTGAAATGAGCCAGGAACGACCACTTCTTTTGTAGTTTAGTAATTGGTTTCTTCCCTCAAGAGTCGGGCAAAAATAGTTGGAAGTCGCTCCGTGCAGTCGGCATCCTGCGTGGAGGAGCAGTGTGTCCTGCCAGGGGTTCCGTGCAGCCAGAAGAGAATCCATCACCGCGTGGGTTTCCTATTCCTTGCTAGAGGCTAATCAGTGAATCCCTTTCAGGAGAAAGAGAAAACCCACGAGGGTGCCCGGCCCATGCGAGCCATTTTCCTCGCTGATGGAAACATCTTCACAACTGGCTTCAGCCGCATGAGCGAACGGCAGCTTGCCCTTTGGAATCCGGTAGGTTCCTGTCCCGTTACGACTTTGCTGTTGTAACGTCTGTTGAGTTACTAGCCCAGACCTGCAACCACCCACTAAATTCAGAGTTCATATACTTGAGCATATTCCTTCATCTCCTGCCTGTTCCTCCCGGGCTTCCTGTGCCAGAAGGTAGCGCCGTTATTTCGGCTGGATGTTCACTCAGGAAAGGATGTGAGTTCTCCTGTGCCAATCCCTGCCTCGCCAAGAGCAGCGATGAAGCAGGGAGCTGCACGTTCAAAGTGCCTGAGAAGATTTACACGGAGCAGAGTGGCTCTGTGAAGGTCACTTCATTCTGTACAGTTTCTGCGCAGAGTGAGACAGCAGCAATCCCATCACACTGGCACAAGACACTCGCTAACGGGACTATGTCACCTCTTTCCTTTGACTTTGTGAATTTTCTTGGGTCCTGCTTTTATTGCATTTTGTGATTAAAATGTCCCTGGGGAATGAATAAGCTTGTGAACATTTCCAGCATTTGCTATTGTAACACACAGATCCTTCAGGGTGGTGAAGACACCGCAGTGTGTTCAGTAGCTACAAAAAACTGTACATAATTTTGGTCCTATGTTAACATGAGCCTTTCCATTCTTCATTAACATCAGTGGATTTTTTTTATTTTCAGAAAAACATGGAGGAGCCAATAGCCCTTCATGAGATGGATACCAGCAACGGGGTCCTGCTGCCGTTCTACGATCCAGATACCAACATTATTTACTTGTGTGGCAAGGTAACGGGAAGCTTTTGGAGTGACTTTGTTGTGTTTAGAGGGAGACTCCTCTTGAAAGAAAGATGCCTGGGAAATGTTCCCCAGGTGTCTTGATTGAGAAAGGCAGAACCAAAAGCTATCACCGCAGCGATGGTCGGGGCTGCAGACAAAGCAGGCTGCTCTGCAGGAGCATGCAGAGAGCCTGTGAAGTCTGCCCCGTGAAGGTCTGGTGTATCATTGGATGTTTCTTTGAGATAGATTTACTTTAGGTAAAGCTGCTTTTTATGCACCAAGTCAGATACCATCAACTCTTGTTGGTGTTGACCCAAAGGATTGTACATTAGTGTGGGAGGAAGGTATATTTTAGATCTTATCCTCCTTGTGCTTGGAGATGATGGAGCATGTAGCGACACTCACTGTAATGTTGCAGGGTTAAGTAATAGAAAACTGGAGTCATGTCTTCCTTTCTAAAAGCAATTTGTAAGCATTAAGTGCTCTACAGTGCTCACTTCTGGTGCCACAGCTTTGGACTTCCTACAAATAGGAGCCAAGGATAAGATGAACGAGTAATTACAAAGGAGGATCCATGCAAGTACGTTCAAGAATCCCATCTTTGTGAACAGCTAATGAGAAATACTTGTTTTATAGCTGCTGCCTCTTTGGCTGTTTCAGAGATGCTAGTGTAGTAGAATTGCCTGGAATCAAAGAGAAACCAGTTTATAGCCTTTCTGCCTAACTGTGGCAGAAAGTTTAGCTTTTTCACAAGAGGAGATCTGGAAGTCGGCTCCCCCAGTCTGGAAGCACGAGCTCAGGTCACTGTACCACGGTATTTTGAAGAACAGCATTTATTGCTGAGAGACTGTTCAGCTCTTGTGGTGCAGTGACATGCTGGAGAGAAGGGAGAGGGACCTGGGCAGGCTGGAGAGGTGGGCCCAGGCAAAACTCATGGAGTTCAACAAGGCCAAGTGCAAGGTCCTGCCCGTGGGTCGGGGCAATCCCCAGCACAAACCCAGGCTGGGCGAGGGGTGGCTGGAGAGCAGCCCCAAGGAGAGGGACTGGGGGGGTTGGTGGGGGGAAAACTGCCCGTGAGCCAGCACCATGCGCTCGCAGCCAGAGCAGGGGGGGCAGCAGGGCCAGGGAGGGGATTCTCCCCCTCTGCTCTGCTCTGGGGAGACCCCCCTGCAGTGCTGGGGCCAGCTCGGGGGCCCCCAACAGCAGAAGGACCCGGAGCTGCTCGAGCGGGGCCAGAGGAGGCCACGAAGATGCTGGGGGGGCTGGAGCAGCTCCCCTGGGGGGCCGGGCTGAGAGAGTTGGGGGGGTTCAGCCTGGAGAAGAGAAGGCTCCGGGGAGCCCTTCGAGCGGCCTCCCAGGGCTTAAAGGGGGGACAGGAAAGGCGGGGGGTGGGGACTCTGGGTCAGGGGGTGGGGGTAGGATGAGGGGGAAGGGTTTTAAACTGTCAGAGGGCAGATTTAGATTAGATAGAAGGAAGAAATCCCTGTGCGGGGGGTGAGGCGCTGGCCCAGGGTGCCCAGAGCAGCTGTGGCTGCCCCCTCCCTGGAAGGGTTCAAGGCCAGGTTGGACGGGGCTGGGAGCCCCCTGGGCTGGGGGAAGGGGGCCCTGCCTGGGGCAGGGGGGTGGCACTGGGGGGGCTTTAAGGAACTGGATGATCTTTCCAACCCAAACCATTCTATGGTTCTATAATGTACTTGGGTTGCAGTAGGGATCTCGATGGTGGTTCTGCTGATGCCGTTTGGCGAGCGAGAACGCAGCGGCGTGCTGCCCGATAGCGGCTGCCGTGGGCAGCCTGAGACGAGGCACGTTCGACCGGCAAGCAACGGAAGTTTTAGCCTGAAAAAAAATAGCTATAAACTGTGCGTGGCTCTGCGGCGGCGTTCCTGGAAGGAAGGGCTGTCGGGTGAGACCGACGGCTGCCTCGCCTGGCGGGGAGCGGGCGTGTGGAGTGGCCCTCCTTCCGTTTCTTCCAGGGGGACAGCAGCATTCGCTACTTCGAGATCACGGACGAATCCCCCTACGTTCACTACCTCAACACCTTCAGCAGCAAAGAGCCGCAGAGGGGGATGGGGTTCATGCCAAAGAGGGGCCTGGATGTGAACAAGTGTGAGATTGCCAGGTGAGGAGAGGGGCTGTCGGGGTGGGGGGGGTGTCATCTTAGCGAGCCACCCCACTGCAAGCTCCACCAGTTAGAAGGGGGAAGTCCCGCTGTTGGAAAGACCTCTCTGCCACACTATTGCTTCCACGGTGTTTGTTGGGACCTGTGACCTGAGGCGATGCTTGTGCTGGGCAGAACATGAGAGAACCTCAAAATATGGTGGGAACTGGGGCTGAGTCAAAGCGGGTGAGCGGTCTCTAGCAGAACACGCTGTCTGCAGAAAACTTGGCCTCAGGCCGGTTACAGCCGACGCGGTCAACATATCGATGATAAACCTTTGGTGCTTAAATCTGGTGTCAGTCTCCAGCTTGCACAGAGCAAGTGGGTTGGAAGCGGGTTTCAGGAATTTAGAGAGTAATTAAAGCCAGCAGCGCAGTGGACCAGAGGAACTGCCGGGGAAAACGCGGCAAAGGAGGAAGGCACATCAGGAGAGCAGGGTTTGTGTCACTGAAACACGTGAGCATTTCAACAGCAGTGCCCGGGGGCCTGGCTGAGGACAGTGCAGTTTGTGTCACTTGTGGAGGGGTGACCGGAGTGTGGAGGCACGTGTGAGCAGAAGGCTGGCTAGTGGGTACCTGTAAATCACTGCGAGCGGCAGAACCGAGGCCGCCTTTGCACGGCATGTTGGCTGTCCTCACGTCAAAGTCACACCTCTTTTTTTTTTTTTTTTTTTTTTTTTTAATTTCTTTTTATTTTTTTTTTCTTTGAAAGGTTCTTCAAGCTTCACGAGAGGAAATGCGAGCCCATCATCATGACAGTTCCTCGAAAGGTGAGCACTACCTCCTGGTTATGTGCTTTGAAGCCAGCTCGTGCCTTCCAGCCCCAAAGCACTTGACCAATTCATCTCTTCTGGTTTGCAGTCGGACCTCTTCCAGGACGACCTGTACCCCGATACAGCTGGCCCAGAAGCAGCTCTGGAAGCAGAGGAGTGGTTTGAGGGGAAAAACGCCGATCCCCTTCTCATCTCCTTGAAGCATGGGTACATTCCAGGCAAGAACAGGGATCTCAAGGTGGTCAAGAAGAACATTCTGGACAACAAGCCTGCCGCAAACAAGAAAAGTGATCTCATAAATGCTCCAAAGAAAGCAGCCGATGCCTCAAACACTGTGAGTAAAATCCACAAGCTTTTGGGGGTGGTGGCCCAAGACTGGATTACCAGGGTCCTATATCTTCAGAAATAGTTAGAACAAATCTCGAGCACGTGTGATTCGAATACCCTGGGGGGGGACTTGGGTGCCGGTGGGTGACCTGGAGCTGAGGTGGCACATGGCTTGTGGTGTTGAGGTTTCTGTAGCTGTGGAAAATGAGGGGGAGTTGTGGCACAAAAAGCTTGGCTCGTTGGTCCAGCCACCCAGCTGCCTGGGAGAGCTGCTGTGCACCTCTTTTTTTTTGTGCAAAACCCAGCAGGGACAGTGGGAGAAATGAACCTCAGACTATGCAGGTTGTGCAAGTCCATAACTGGGGGCTGCAGCCAACGGGTGGTATAGAAATACGTAGATGTGGAAGTGAGCTGCCATCAAGTAGGTCCTTAAACGCTGTGAAAGGGCAGCTACTGGCCCAGTAGGTCCTGGAAGCTCGCACTGGTGCCACTGGAGATGCCAGTCTGTGCCCCGTCCCGAGGAGCCCCTCGCCCTGCAAACCCCCCGCCCGCAGAGCTCCTGACGGACGCGTCTCTTCTCTTCCCTTCCAGCAAAACGAAGCCAAATTGGATGAGATTTTGAAAGAGCTGAAATCTATAAAAGACACGATCACCAACCAAGACGAGCGCATTTCCAAGCTGGAGCAGCAGATGGCAAAGATCGCGGACTGAGCGGGGCGAGCGGCGCTGGCCCCGCCGCCAGCCCAGGCACATTCCAGTTCCCCACCAGTTCGGCGAGCGGCAGCGTGCAGCATTCCAGTACGAGCTTTCCTGTCCTCCTAAATTCACGTCAACGAGAGCTGATGATTAAAAGCCAAGCTTTTTAGTGAATTTTTTTTTTTCCTGATGTTTTAATGAATTTATGTGACTGTGTCAAACAAGTCAAAAAGAATAAGTGCTACTTTTACAGTCTTTTTTTTTTTTTTTTTTTTCCCCAGACATTATGAATTCTTGAAAACAAACCCATTCTGACCTTCAATGTTGTGCCCAAATATCTTTTTCTAGATTTAGGGACCAATGCCACATTGTTCTTCTTAACCATTTTTTAAAGTTGCCAAAAAAGAAAGAAAAAAAAAAAAAAAAAGTTGCTTTTTATTTTTCTTATTTGCCACTTTGCAGTATTTGTGTTTTCAATTGAAAGGGACAGCACTGCGTGTGTGTGCGTGTGTGTGTGCGCGTGGCGGGTGTTTATACTGTTCAGAGAACAAAAAACTGAAGCTATTTTGTATAAATCTTCGATTTCGAACAATCAGATCGGTTTCCTTTGCAGTGTGGCCGTGGCTGCTGCTGAGCCCCCTCAGAGATCGCACGAGCTGCCTTTCCTGCCTCCCTAACGTGTTCCCATCACCCTTGGCTGACAGTTAAAGAAAAAAACCAAACCAACCCCTAATTCTGAACGAGGCGATCCACGCCACGCTTCTCCTTTTTACACCCTGAAGAACTTTTAAACGAGCATCCTGTTGCCCTTTTAAAATAATGCCGTGGTTTAGATTCCTTTAGCCATGCAAAGCGGGCGTGTTTTACTTGACTTTTTTTTTTTTTTTTTTTTTTTTTTAATTTTTATTTTGAAGCAGAAGTTACTTTCGTGCAGGAACTATTTTAATGTTTTTCCACGGAGCACAGCTGAAGGTGTGCCGTGGGGGACGCGAGCCGTGGGACACTGGCAGTCCCCAGGTTCTCCGGGCTGGCCCTTCCCGCTGCCTGCGCTGCTGTAAATACTTGTTTCTGCGCTAGAGCTGCCCCACCGCGCTCTTCGGCTCATTGACTTCAAGAAGCTTTTAAAATCTGCGAGCTTGCAATTCTCCGGCCCCTAGAAATTTAAACTCTGCTTCCAAAGCGGCATTAGCAGTAGCTAGGTGACTTTATCATGACGGGTCTCCAGAAACAAAATGACTCTGCTGTTTTGTTTTGTTTTGGGTTTTTTTTAATATTTTTTTTTTTTTTCCTCTCCATCATTCCTGCCTCCCCACCACGCAGTAAAACTTTGCAGGAAATTATTTGTTCCTGGATCAGATGAGTGAGCTCCGTCCCCAGACACCCCCCCCTGCACTCCCAGGCCTTCGGAGCGCAAGGAACTGGGGAAGGTGGTTTAGGATCCCAGTTTGGAGAACTGGTTTCTCCCACGGTCCTCAGAGATCCTCGGGGGAGAGACACCCCCCCCCCCCCGTGAGCACGGCGGGCTCGCGCGAGCTCCTTGTGGAATTTCTTGGATGCCTCAGCTCAGCAAACCCCTGCTCAGGTGGGGTCTCCCCTGCGAGGAGCGGGGGGGGGGGGCTGCCTGTGCCAGGGATGGGTCCCTGCACATCCCCAGGATGTGGCAGGACCCGTGCCCCCCCCCTTGCCCCCCCCCCCCCCCCGAAAGCTGTGCCAGGCTGGCTTGGTGCCCCCCCAAAAGCGGGCAAAGACTGTGGGGTGTCCAAGAGCTGTCGGCTGCGCAGCCTCACGCCCTGGCACCGGGGGGGGGCTGGTCCCCGAGGCAGCTCACTGCTCCCCCCACACACGTGCACCCTCGTGCACTCAGGACCCGCCGCACCCGAGCAGCGTCCCCCACCCCCCCCAGGGCATCCCCGGCGGGGGACACGTCCCTTTGTCCAGGCTGAAGTGATTTTTTTTTTTTTTTTTTTTTTTTTTTTTCCCCCCATTAGGTTAGCTAGAAATCCTCCGATTCTCCATTTTTTTCCAGTGTTTGCATGTTCAGAATTTACAGATTAAGGATTCTCTGCTCTGGAGGGATGTCTGTGTGTGCAAAGGCGAGCCCCCACCGGCAGGACGGCTGGGCGACGTAGCTGGAGAGGCACAAGAACAGGACACGAAGAGACAGAGGATGTGTTATAATTGCATAGCATGAAAACTTAATAAAAATGGGTTTTCTTTGTTTTAAGTGGCAAGCAGAGCAGGCGGGACGAGCATCCCCTGCCCTGTGCCCGTGACCACTGATGCTGGATTCACAGTCCAGACACTCCGGGTTATTTGAATGTTTGGTGACGTTTTTGTATTGCAGTAAATGGCTGAGATACGATGTGTATTTTTTTTTTTTTTAATCTTTTTTTTTTTTTTTTTTTTTCCGAAAACAAAACCAAACCTAACGCTCCCCCCGATGGTGATCTCTGTGTTGATTTGTACGTGTGACTTCAGGGTTGTGTGCTTGGGGACCTTTTGTTTTTTCTAATTGGAGGGAAATAAGTTTTCTGAGACGCTGGATTGAAATGCCCAGAGGAGATCGGTGTGTGGTAGACGGTCCGAGGAGGGCGGAGGAAAGGCCGCCCTGGTTTTTAGTTTATAGCCTGTATTTTATTTAAATGAACTGATGCCTAGCCAGGCTCAACCGGAGTCAGTGCCTGAAGCTTTTTGTAGCCGTGATATCCCAGAAGAGAACCAGCGAAGTCCTGAAAGATGCGCTCTTATAGAGCGGCCATAGTATCTGTCCAAATATTTGCTTCCATTTTCAAAAGATAAAAGTCATTGATTATAAACTTCCTCTGCTTTGCTTTTTCTTTTGACTCCCTGCGTCCTGCACCCGCCGCTGCCCCTCAGCACCCGCGTTTCAGGTTTTATCAACAACCAGGTTTACGAGATGATGGTGCTGCCCTTGCCCCCCCCCAGCGATTAACCCCAAGACGGGGTGGGGGGGTTGTGCCTGAGCAGGGTCTGTCCTCAGACCCCCCCCCACTCCTGCCATGTCCCTGGGGGGGTCCATCCCCAGAGTCACACATGGACTCGCTGGTGATTTTCCTGCGAGTGATCCCAGGAGCTTGGCTGGATGGCCGGGACTTGGAGGGGGGTGGGTGGGGTGTGGGTGGGTTTGGGGTAGCCGAGCCCCAGGTGCCGTGGGGGTCTCATTCTGCTCTCCCCCAGTTGAAACCGGGTCCAGGGAAGGCTGCAACAGCGTCCCTCAGTCCCTGTGAGTTTTGAGAGCCCCCCCTCGCCCCCCAGCGCAGCCTCCCCGGGCCCACAGCGTTTCACCCCGTATTTCACAACCACCCTCAGCTGCCGCCGCCGGTACCCCCCGACCCCAGCACAACCCCCAGCACCCTGCGATGCTTTCGGAGAGACGATGCTCCCTGGCCACCCTGGAGCCACCCCAGGGGATGCTCATCCCCCCCCCCCCCCCCCCGCCGCAGCCCTGAACCCCCCATTTTCTGTGCCTGTCCCCCCTCCACGGGCGACCTGGCGGCGACAGGAACCGCTACCCCCTTCCAGCCCCTACAGCCAGGAGATTTTGAGAAGGGATGGGGTGAGTCCAGCACGGGGAGGGGGTTCATAATACTGCCGGGAAGGTGGGGGGGTGGGGTGGGGGGGTGTTGTTTACAGCCCCGGGGCAGCAGCCGCAGGGCGTTTGCTGCGGATGTGCTCTTGCAGCATCCTTCCTGCGGCTGCAGCTCCTGCCTGCTGCCGCGCCGGTGCCCGCGGTTAGGGTGGGGTATTTCCCACCCGGTGCAGCTCCCTGTGCCGTGCCACACGGTTGGGACAACGCCTGGCAGACCCCCCCACCCCCCCACACCTCGGCTGCAGGCTGCCGTCCCTGGGGACGGCGGTGCTGAGAGAAGGAGCCTAGCATCAGATTTCTGCAAATGCATCGAGCCAGGCCCTCACCCTCCTCCTCCTCTTCCTCCTCCTCGCCTGCAAAGGTCGTTTCCTGGTGCCGGGGTACCTCTGCGTCCCCTCTCGAGGCACCATGACCTGCCCCCCCCCCCCCCCCCCCCCCATCCTGTTTGTGCCCACACCGTGCCCGGGGAGGGGGGGGAGGGTTGGCAGCCCTGGCACCAGGTTTGCTGTCACTTCTGCTTTTGGGGCGGCATGAGCCCCGGCACGCAGCTCAGCAGAGCCACCAGTGGGGCTGAGCCGGCCCGTGGGGGGCACCCACAGGGCACCCAGCCCACCGGGAAGAGGCAGGAGGTCCCTTTTTTGGGGTGCGACCCCCGCCCCATCGCAGCCACCCTCACTGTTGGGCTCACGCAGCCTCTGGCCCTCGGTGGTCCTTTTTCCCGGCGTGACGTCCTTCCCGTGCCGGGCTCTCCGAAACCGCAGCCGCCCTTCCGTGCCCGCCTTCCCTTCCCCGCCCGGGCGGGAGGTGCAGGCGGAGGGCGGCCCACGATGCCCCCTCGGATTTCGGCAGTCGCCCAGCCCTGGGGCTGCCGTCGTGCCCCGGTGCCGGTGATGCCCACCGGCGCGGAAGCTCCGGGTCCCGCGGCGTCCCCCGGCAGAGGTGAGCCCCGATGGGGTGGGGGGACCCCCAGGGATGGTGTGGGTGCAGAGGGGATGCTCAGGGTCCCCCTTGGGATGTGAATGGGTGCAGTGCTGGTCTCCAGGGTTTTTAGGAGGCGAGCGGGTGCTTTGGGGAGGTGGGGGCCTCCCAGGGATGCTCGGTGCTGGGGGAGCATTGATCAGTGTTTGGGTGCTGTTGGGTGACACAGGGATCTCACCCCGGCTTCTGCCCACTGGGGCTGCTGGAGGGGGGGGATTGGTGATCAACACATGTAACGGGGTGGGGGTGGGGGGGGATTTGGGGTGGATTTGGGGTGGGTTTGCCTCTCCCCACCCCACTCTGGCACAAATGCACAAGCTCATGGTGGCCTCAGCCCAGGAGCCCCGCGCCAGCCTGGCTGGTGGAGAGGGAGCACAGGCACCCCAGGGGGGGTCGGGGGGCTCCGATCGAATCGTGTGCGACACCCCCGGCGGTTTCATTTCTGCACGGGGAGTCATCCTGCAACTGCCCATCCCGCAACAGCCGCCGTCTCCATCGCGGCTCGTTTCCCATTTCCAGACAGCTCAACTTCCTTTTCAAAATGTTTTTCTCAAGCGGGGCCCAGCTCCCGCAGGTGGAGGTCGGTGGTCCCATCCTCCAGCACCCCCACCACCACCCAAAACCCAGGGTCCCCTCTGCGGGTGGAGAGGAGGATGCGATTCCCCCTCCTTAGGGCCACTTCCAGCCTGAACGATGGAGCTCAGCATCCTCCCATTGAGAGCCCTGAATTATTTCATCAGCCCCCCCCTCCTCTGTTCCTCTCCCACACAGGTCCCATGGTGCCGGGCTGGGCCGTGCTGGTGGTGCTGGTGCTGAGCACCCTGTGGGTGTGCGGGGCTGTGCCACCGCCAGAGCAGCACCGCGGCGGGTTGTGGCTTTGGGGGGCGGCCGGGCCGGCGCAGGCTGAGCCCCCGCCGCTGTCCCGCAGGAGGAAAGCCGAGAGTGGGCAGCAGCCCAGTGCCACCACCGCCATTCTGGGGCACGGCCACGCTGCCACCGTCCCCCTCAGCAGCAACAAGACGGATTCCCCCCAGCCCGACCAGTTGCTGGGGGAGCCTGGCCACGCTGCCGGCCTGCGCCGGGCACGCGCGGCGCCGACCGCAGCCAATCTGCTGGATGAGACCGATTCCCCCGAGCCCGACCTGTTGCTGAGCTCTGCGCCATCCCTGGCGCCCAGCACCAAGGCCAGCCCACCCCGGGGACTCGTGGTGACAACCACAGCTGATCTGGATGAGACCGATTCCCCCGACCCCGACCTGTTGCTGAGCTCTGCGCCACCCCCAGCACCCAGCACCAACGCCAGCCCACCCCGGGCACTCACAGTACCAACCACAACCAATCCCCTGGATGAGACCGATTCCCCCGAGCCCGACCTGCTGCTGAGCTCCGCACCATCCCCGGCGCCCAGCACCAACACCAGCCCACCCCGGGCGCTCGTGGTGCCGACCACAGCCGATCCCTTGGATGAGACTGATTCCCCCGAGCCCGACCTGCTGCTGAGCTCTGAGCCACCGCCAGCGCCCGGCACACAGGCAGCACCCCAAAAAAGCGTCACCACCATCCCCAGCCAGCTCACGTCGCTTAGCGAGGAGGAGACGGTGGCCCACGGCACGGAGGGAAGTTCTTCCACTGGGCCACGCTCGGAGACCCCCCCATCCTTCAACTCCACCACCGCGGGTTACAAAAAAGTCAAGAAACCCGATGCTCCCCCCACACCGACTCGTTCGGCCCCTTGGGACACCAAGCCGGTCCCCTGGGACCCCAGCAGGGTGATGGGCAAGTGCCTGCTGGCCATCCTGCTGCTGGCCCTGGTGGCCGCCACCTTCATGGTGTGCACGGGGGTGCTGGGGGCCCTGCTCTGGCGCCGGGCGCGGACGGCACACCGCCGGCTCAGCCGCACCGAGATGGTCTGCATCTCCTCCCTGCTGCCCGACGGCGAGCTGGCCGCCAACGGCCCCAAGCCCTGCCCGGCGCCGCGGCAGAAGCTGCTGCCCGACGGCGGCTCCGAGGCCGACGGTGACAACCTGACTCTCAGCAGCTTCTTGCCAGAACACCCTTGAGACAGCGGGGAGGGGTGGAGGGGGGATTTGGGGGGGGGGGGGAGAGGGGGGGGGGGGAGTCCTGCACCCCAGAGCATCGGGGAGATGCGGTGTGGGCATGGAGCCCCGGTACCCCCCATCCCCTTGGGTTCGTGTTTTAACTGGGACCGGTGTGGTGGGGAGCTGCTTTCCCCTCCTGGGGCGCGCTCAGCCCTCGAGGCTCACCCCATTAAAACATTACAAGGACACGGTGGTCTCTTCCTGGTGGGGACGGCACCCACCAGCACAGCCCCCCCACACACCCCCCAGCCCCCTCCCTGCTCCACCACCTGCCCACATCCCCCCCCCGCTGAAATTTCGCTTCTCCATCCTGCTCCCCCAGCAGCAGCCCCAGCCTCCCCCCACCACCACCACCACAGGGATGGAGGTGGGGGGGGGGGGAGCAGAAACGAAACCCACAGCCCCCCCTGCCCAGGCCCCGCTCGGGGATTTGGGAACCGCAGCCCCCAGGACCCCCACCCCGCGTGGGGCTCGGCCTCGTGCTGCAGCGTGGGAGTGGAAAGTGTGGTGGTGCTGGGGCGGAAATGCCGGGGCGGGGGTGGGGGGGGACGGACGGGGCCGGGTACTCTCGTGGCGTAACGTGTTCCTGCCCTGCGGTCGCCTGCAGCGAGGTGACACCTCCGGGGCTCGTCACTGCCCGTCGGGGTGGTCCTGGGCTCGTCCCCCATCAGCAAATGGTGGCCACAGGCTCTTGGCCTCGTCGGGCGGCGTCGGCCGGGGCTGGCCCTGCCTGGGTGTGACAAAACCACGAGCCAGTCACCAAGGTTCCTACCATCTTGCCTGCACACGGCGGCTCAGGTTTGCTCCCCAGGTCCCACCTCCCCCTGGGGTGCAGGTTTGGTCACCCCTGAAGCCACCAGCCTGAACCCCTTCGCTGTGCCCAGCCCCGAGGGAGCCACCCAAGGGAGCAGAAATGGCCCAGGACTGTCCCTGCCCCAACAGGCTCCATGTCCCTGTCCCCACATCCCCATCCCTGCCCCGCCAGGCTCAGTGTCCCCATCCCTGTATCCCCATCCCTGCCCCAGTTGGGCTCGGTGTCCCCATCCCTCCACCCCCATCCCTGCTGTAGCCAGGCTTAATGTCCCCATCTCTCCACCCCTGCCCTGCTGGATCCAGCATCCCCATCCCCACATCCCCATCCTCATATTCCCATCTCCACATTCCCATCCTCACATTCCCATCCCCCTTTTTCCATCCCCATATCCCCATCCCCACATTCCCATCCCCATGTCCTCATCCCCACATCCCCATCCCCACATTCCCATCCCCACGTTCCCAACCCCACATCCCCATCCCCATTTCCCCATCCTCACGTTCCCATCCCCATGTTCCTATCCCCATTTCCCCATCCCCACATCCCCATCCCCATGTCCCCATCCCCACGTTCCCATCCCCACATCCCCATCCCCACATTCCCATCCCCATTTCCCCATCCCCACATCCCCATCCCCATGTCCCTATCCCCACATTCCCATCCCCACATGCCCATCCCCACATCCCCTTCCCCACGTCCCCATCTCCACATCCCCATCCCCACGTTCCCAACCCCACGTCCCCATCCCCACCCCCCCCAGTTTACGCCGCCCTCGATGGGCGCAGCGCACGCTTGGGCAGCGAAGCGTTCCGGCGTGCACTCGTGGCATCGCTGTGCCACCCCATCCCCGAGCCGAGCCCCGGATGCTCAGCCACCTCGAAAGCCATTTTCGGGGGTGTCTGTCCCTCAGAGAGGGGGCAGGGGCTGGCAGCACCACAGCTCACCTGCACCCCGGCCCTGACGCCTGTTTACATTCACGCTGTGCTTCGGATATTTTCCATCTGGGGCCGAGCAGCCTCGCTGGCCCCGCTCCCTCCTGCAAATGTAAATGTTTACGGGTGAGTCAGGGGATGTGCAGCCGCGGCGGTGGCCGGTCCCCAGGTGGGACACCCCAGCCAGGGGCTTGCTGGCTCTGCCCCCGCTGTGTCCCTGGGCGTGGGGATGCCAGCACCCCGCTGTGCCAAAACGCAGCCGCAGGAGCTCATGGTTCAGCCATAACTGGCACGGAGGTTTAAGGTGCCCCTGGGCAGCCGGGGCCAGGCTGGGGAGTGGGAACTCACTGTCACCCCCAGCCCCACTTTCTCTCAGAGGCGAAGGGGTGCTCCCATCACCCGGCTTTGCCCCACAGCAGGCTCTGCCCCCCGGGTCCAGGTGAGGATGAGGCTGGTGGGTCGCGAGCAGGCGGACGGGTGCCGGTTGGAGGGGTTGCGGTTGCTCCTTCTTGCCCGCCGCTCCGCAGCAGGAGCCCAACGAGCATAAACTTTGCTCCAACCAGCCGGGGAATCGCCCTATTTGGCATCGTCAGCAGGTCCTGTCCAGCTGCCATCTCCCAGCTCACGGCCCAGGAATCTGCAGGGAACCCGGCACGGTGTCACAGCAGGAGTCCCGGGCCACCCCTGTGCTTGGCGGGGGGGGGGCTCTGGGTGGCATGGGGTGGTGGGTGGTGCTTTGCAGGGTGCTCCGCACGCCGGGGTGCAGCTCGGCAGGATCGGTCCGTCCCCACACACCCTCCACACACAGTGTCCGTGTGTCCCGTCCCCCACCCCCCCCAATACACTTTGGATATTTCGCTGGCACAGCAAAGCACAGCCCAGCGAAGCAAATTACAAGCAGAGCAAGGCCGAAATGTCTCAAATTGCAGGTTAGCTGGGGCTGGCTGGGCCGCGGAGCCGAGCCCTGCGGGTCCCCGCGTTCCAGCTGCCCCAAATTACAAAGCGGGGCGCGGGCGGCCCGGCCCTGCCCAGCACCGAGGGGCTGAGCCCTCCCCGGCCGCAGGCAAAAACGGCATCGTAATGGCTGGTGGGCGCTGGCACCGGGGGCCACCCGGCCCCACGCCCCCGCCACCCTGGGAGGAGCCCAGGGCTGGGACGGGGACCCCGAATTGGGGCGGTGGGGATGGTGATTGGGGAAGGGTGGGGACCCTGGGCAAGGATGGATGGGGACCCTGACTAGGGGGGGATGGACACTATGGGGGAGGAGGGATGGGGACATCGGGCAGGGGACCCCGGACAAGGAGGCTCAGCCCAACAGCGGCATCGCTGGGCGCACGGGGAGGGGGAAATCGCAGCCTCCCCCCCCCCCCCCCCCCATCCCCATCTGGGCTGCAGGAGCCAGTCCGGATTCCGCTGGCGCTTCTCCAGGCCGGCTCGCCTCGGCAGCGCGGCCCCCCTCGCGTTCCCCCCCCCCCCCCCCGCCCTCCCCTCGTTTTTTCCCCCTTCCCCTCTAAGATTTCAGCCCTGATCGTTTAAGACCAGGAAAAGCCACCTCGGCAGCTGCGTGGAGCCGCCGGCTGCAGACAGACGGACGGACAGACCCGTTATTTCTGGGAGCCACGATTACGTCCGGCCGACGCCGGGAGAAACCCAAAGGGCGCCAGTTGCCCTCCGGCTTCCCAGTGCCAATGGTGATGGGGATAGGCACCGTCACCCCCCCCCCCCCCCCCCCCCAAGCTGGTCACAGTCCCAGGGTGCTGGCGATGTTTTTTTTTTTTGAGGGGGGGGGAATTTTGGCTGGTCCCCGGGGAGCTGCAGAGGCGAATAGCAAGAGGATGAGGTCACCCACCAGCGGCTGCAGCCTCTTGAGCAACTTCAGCTCAGAGGGCACTGCGGGGGGGTGGGGGTGGGGGGGCAGAGGGCTGCTGGGGGGACTGGGGGGGGACCCCTGGACCCCCAGCCTGGACACCATGTCCTGGGGAGCAGCTGCTGCCGTGTTCACCCGGGGAAGCACAGGGGCAATTTTCTGCACCCCGAGGCAGAGGTGCCTGTGCTGGAGCATTTCCAGGCTGGGATGTTTAGGAAATGGTATCCTGAAATTAAGGGGGGGTGGGGGGGGCGTCCCAAGGCCTGTTTGCCCCCCCCCCCCCGTGCCACACTGCCAGACCCCAATAATGCCAGAGCACCCTGCCCGAAATGTTCACCGTCCCCCTCAGACCCTGGGCACGGCGTGGCCTCGGTGGCCGTGCCCAAACTGGGGCAGGAGCATTTGGGCTCGCAGGGCTGGGCACCGGGGCAGGATCAGGCCCTGGGCTGGGGCGATGAGGGGCCCAGGAGCGTGATGAAAAGCAGCTGGGGGGGTTCCAAGCTTGATTGGGAGGCATTTTTGGAGTGCCAACACCACTGGCCCACCACAGTGGCTCAGCCATGTGGCCAGGGGACGACATTTTGCCTCCACCCTCGTGGATAGAAACACCTTTGCAACAACCTCCCCCTTATCACCCCCGTCTCCGCTCGCACCCCAAAAAGCGACCCCTTCCAGTGGCATGATGGGGGACACTGGGGGTCCCCCCCTTTGCTGGAAGGGCAAAAGGCTGGGAAGCCCCCACCAAGCTCCCAGCTGGATTTTGACTGGGAGGGGGCTGGGGGCCGCCTGCCCCTCACCGGCCTCCTGCACTCCCTCCCCAAACGAGCCCTAATGAGAACAAGCTGGTCCTGGGCTGCAGCACAGGAGGAGGAGAAGGAGGAGGAGGACGAAGGAGGAGGAGGAAGGAGGAGGAGAAGGAGGAGGCTTCATCCCAGCAGGCAGCAGAAAGGGGCGCGAGGAGACGAAGTGTGCAGGACAGACCCCCCCATTCTCCCAGCTCCCTCCCACCGACGCAGCAGCTGTGGACAAGGTGAGAATCCCACAGGTAATGCCAGCCTACCCCCCAATTTTTGGGGGGGGCTCCTGAGGCTGCTTTGTGGCTGGGCTGGGCACAGTCCCCGCAGCGGGGTGCGGGATGGAGCTGACCGTGCGCCCGGGCACAGTTTGGAGGATGCTGTGCCTGGAAGGACAGTATAATTGTGAATTTTCCGAGCGTTTGGGGAGCGGAGGGAAGCGGAACGGGGGTCACCAAGCCGGAGCCGGGGATGCGCTGTGGGTCTGGGGGTGGGCGAGGGTGGGATGGGAATGGGTGCAGATGGGGATGGGGTGACGATGGCAGGCGCTGCTCTCAGCATCGATTTGGGCTTTGCTCAGCCCCTCTGTGGCTACTCGTCAGCTCTGCTTGCTAACGGCAAATTAATGCCTTCCCCAGGACCCCTCTCCCCACCGTGGCTGAGGGGCCCCTCTCTGAGGCGAAAGGGGAGGATGAAGGGGCTCTTCCCAGCCCCCCAAAACCCTCTGTCCCATTACTGCAGCGAGCCTGGCAGCAAGCTGGGAGAGTCGGGGGGTCCGGGGGCACCCCCCTGCCTCGGCCGCCGTTTGTTTGCTCTGGTTTAATGCAAACCAGATTTTGCAGCTGGGAAGGAGCCCGAAAGCCAAGTCCTGCTGCTGGAGTCGCTCTCGGTTTGCAGCGCTGCCGAGTTGGGTTTGTTTGGGGGCGTGGGGTGGAGAAAATGGGAGGTGGGTTGGGATTTGGGGAGGCCCGAGGTTGGGGGGAATTGGCCCGGGGTGTGTGTGTGTGTGGGGGGGTTTCCCCGCCAATGGACCTGGGGAGCTGGTTCGTGAAACCTTCCCGTGGGGTGGGAGAGCTCTGGGAAAGGCTCGGTGGTGTTACGTGGTGCGGCATAGCCTAAACGTGCAGCCGTCCCCCGGGGAGAGTTGCACCCCCACTGCCAAACCCCACGGCGGGTGTGGAGCCCAGCTGGGGGGCTCATCCCTTCGGGTCGTGTGTGGGGATGGGAAACGTTTGTCCCGCGTCCTACAACCGGCCTCGTCCAGAGGAACGCGGCACGGCGAGGGGACGGAGCTGGCCTTCACCCTTCACCGGGGAATCGGCCAGCTGGGCCCCTCCTGTTCACTGCACCCCAGCTCCGGGGCGGGAATCCCGCGCCCCATCCCGGCACTGGGGTGAAATCCTCCCCGCCAACCTATTTTTAGCCACGCTTAAGCTGGGAATCGTTTGTAACAGTCCGGGACGAGCGGTTGGGAAATGCCGCTCGCGCCGGGGGCCGGCTCCTCTGCAGCGTCGCCTGTGTCAAAGTTTCCACTGGAAACCTCAATTTTTCAGGAATTTTCTAATCAGCCAAATGACCGTTGTCTGAAGCCAGTTGTTGGCAGCGGCCCCGGTCCCCTCGCCGTGCACACAGCATCCCCCCCCAGGCTTGAGCAATTGGATTCAGCTGGTTTCTGTCTATTTTTTGCAGCGCGCCGTTGCAAAACAAACACAGCCCCTCGCTCGGTGTCGGGGGCGAGGAAACGGGAGCCGCGTTTTTTTTTTTTTTGCTTTTCTTAAAAGTGGCTCCACCACCCTTGGGATCATCCAGGGCTCGGGGTGGGCGCACCGTGGGGTTTCGCTTGGGGTAAGGGTTGAGGGGAGCGGGGGGGTCTTGTTCTGTGGGGGTGTTAATGTTTCGCCCTCCTCTCTGCATCCCGCAGGCTGCCGCGGGGGGGAGATGATGGCGATGCGGCCGGCGATGGGTGCGTGGCTGCTGGTGGTGGTGGTGGTGGTGACGGTGACCCCGGCACGCTCGGCAGCCCCCCGGCACGCCGCGGTGCTGCCCGACGGCGGGGGCAGCGGGGACGGCGAGGAGGTTTCGGCCGTGCCACCCGTCCGTGGCGTGACGCCGGGGACCGGCCCGACGGCCGGGGAGGCGGCGGGGACCACGGTCACCAACAGCTCGGCGCCGGGCGGCGTGCTGGACGGGCTGGTGGATTTCTTCAAGGAGTACATGCTGCTGGTGGTGGTGGTGGGCTCGCTGGCCTTCGTCCTCCTCTTCATCATCTGCGCCGCCGTCATCGTCCGGCAGAAGCACAAGGCGTCTGCTTACTACCCCTCCTCCTTCCCCAAGAAGAAGTACGTGGACCAGCGGGACAAGGCGGGGGGGGCTCGGGCTTTTAGTGAGGTGCCCGAAAAAGCCCCTGACCCCGGCGCCGAGGAGCCGCTCGACTGCAGCCGGCAGCTTCAGGCAGACATCCTCGCCGCTGCCCAGAACCTCAAATCCCCCCCCAAGGTGCCGCTGGCCAATGGGGCCCGGGGGGAGCAGAACCCACCCCCCGAGGAGGAAGAAGGAAGCAAAAAGTTGGGTGACCAGCCACCCACTGAGCCCCCTCCCCAAAACGCAGGCGCTGAGGAAGCGGCGAGTGGCGTGGGAGCAGAGGGCGGGGGGGCCCCTGATGTGCCCCAAGGTGGCCCCCCGACCCCCCCTGGTATTTAGGGCAGGGACCCCATCCCAGGCGAGCCTGAGGAGCTGCCGGCTCAGCCGAGTGGTGGGGGGGGGGGGGGACACCCCGCGGACACACGATGGACGTGGTGCTTTGTTGCTCCATATATACGTGGCGGCTCAAGGAAGCCCCGATGAAGCCCCCCCCCGCCCTGGTTTGACCCCCCCCCCTTCCCCAGGGCCCAGCACCCCTCATGCCGGCGGGGACGCCGTGCCAAAGCCACGGGGATTTTTGGCACACAGTGGTTTTGCCTGAGCACCGTCGGCCCTATCGCTCCTGCTGCCCCAGGGGCTTTTCCCACCCCCGGGACACTATGGGGGGAGAGGGGGGCACATCCCACCCCCTCCAGCTCTGCCCCCCCCCCCCCCCCCCTCCACATGCCCCCAGCTTGCTCCCAAATGTTATTTTTTACTAATTAGCAGCCTCCTGGTCCAGGCTGGGAGCTGCAGCCCTCCGGGCAGATGCAGGGGACCATGGCTGGGAGGGTTGGTCTGTGCAGCTGCCCCCCCTCCGGGGAGCGGGGCAGGGGCTCACAGTGACCTCAGGCACTTGCCGATGGCTGTGGCCACCAAGGACGGGGTGACCTTGGCCACCCTCACCCAGCTGAGGAGGGAAGGGAAGAGGATTTAGTAGCAATGACCCATCCTTTCATTTTTCTGCCCAGAGCCCAGCTGGACTTTCCCCTTATTTTCTTAACCCCTTCAGCTAGTAATAAAAACATTTCCTACGCAGATCTTTCCTGTGTGTTTCTGCAGCTTAGGGGTGGGGGGCAGCCAAGGCCCCCCCCCCTTTGCTCTTTCAGGGTCCTCCCTGCATCAGCCTGGTTTTGGGGTGCAGCCAGTTCCAGCTTCAGCCCCACAGGTCCCAGCCGGGCTTCAGGGCGAAGGTTCTCTGCGGGGGTAAACCCCCAGGGAGACGCGCTTATCGTTCAGAAAAATCTGTACACCCACACGCCGTTTCTGGGAAACTTTTATCTCACACCCCACAGACTTGGCGGGGACTGGGGGGGGGGCCACAATGCTGCTGCACAACACTTGACAGAGCTGCATCTGCTGGGGACACTGGGCCAACTGGGAAGGGGGAAAAAGGCTTTTTTGCCCTGAAGGCAAAGCATCCCCGCATCCCTGTGTCCCCAGGTTTTGTCCCAGCCATGGGGCAGGTAAGGATGTGTCCCCACAGCAGGACCTTTCCCCTCTGGAAAAGCACGTTGGCTCTTATCTCTCTTGCATTTTGTCCAGGGGCTCTCACGAGCACAATGAACCGATTCTGCCCCAAAGCAGACATGGGCGCCTGAAGTTTCCCTGACTTTTTTTTTTTTTTTTTAACTGGGAAACCACAGGACTGATCCCAGGGAGCAAAGCACATTCCTTGCTGCAGGAGACAGGGGCTGTGCTCAGGGCCAGCATCCGGCACGTGGGGTGGTGCTGAGCTGAGGTACCACAAGAGCGGCTGTGTGAGCGACAAACCACAGCAGCAACAACACGTGGCCTGCTCTGAATTAAAAAAAAAAAAAAAAAAAAAGGAAACATCAGAATAAGCCACTTATTTTTAAACGTGGTTTTTAATGTTTTTAAAACATTCTAGGTATGCAAAAAGGCAAGTAAGGTTTCTTGGGTGGTTTAAAAATCTTAAGAGCAGGCAAAGTTTTCAAATGTGTTTTGTTTGTTTTGGAAATCTATGGAAATACTCTCCCGGAAAAAGAGCAACCACCAGAAGGCACAGGAGAGCACAGGGGCCTGGAGCACAGAGAGGGTAAGCCACAGAGTCACCCCAAAACGTTTCCTTTTCAAACACTGGTGTGCCCCCAGCTCCTGGGGAGCGCAAATCCTTGAGCAGGTGGATGTCAGCCACGCTCACCCCAAAAGCTGCTCCTCAACTCTGCACCCCAGCGATATTATTCCCCTCCTGGGTTCAAACCCAAGGGTGCATTTACTCCTCTTAACAGTACTCAGCAAATCCAAGGGTTAAATTTTTATAGAAGACACTCCAAAAATTAAAATTGCTCCTGTGAGAGCTTCAAAAAAAAAAAACCAAAACCCAAACAGACCAAGCCAGCAAGCACCAGTGGGGACATGAGAATAGAAGCAAGCCAGGTCTGTGTTTCCTGGCGCGGTGGCAACCGACACCCAGGCACTACTTGCCAGTCCCCCACCAGTCCAGAGAGGAGGAACTCGCACTCGGATTGCGAAACAAAACTCTGACACAGCTGTAGTTTGCGGGCAGGGGCACTGCCCCGTGTTTGTACACACGGACTGATCTGCAGTTCTTACATCAACATTCAGACCAAGGCCATGGTTCCCACTAAATCCTGTAAAAGATTAGGCAAAACTATACATCTTCCCAAAAAAGTGCAGCCCTTCCAGTACCGGACCAGCAGGATTTTCTCTCCTGAGTCCTCTGCAGTTGAACAGTCTTCTTCACTCTAACATTTCAAATGCAGTTGTGAGAGGACACATGCTGCTGAAATACCCACATCCCAGCCGTGCAAGCACTACGGGAGTGCCTGTGCACAAATGAACAGTGACACGTTGTGCGTAAGTTGTGCGTATCTTACAGCTTTGTTTAGTAGTGCACAGGATCCTACTGATAGCTAAAATAATTGCACTGCAAATTTAACTGGAATGAGAACAAACTTTACAGTCAGTTCAGGCATTGTTTGCTTTCTTCTCTGACTCTTCTTTGTTTGGATCCTGCTTCAACTTGTAATCAGCCAAGGCAGCCTTAATTGCATCTTCAGCCAGCACTACAAACAAAACGAGTATTTCAAGGACAATGAAAAGTCACTTAGAACAAAAGGTGCCGTAAAAGCAAAAGCAGCCAGCAGTGACCGCTGCAGGTAGCGCCCACTGGCATCTTAGATGCAGAACATCAGAATCTGAACACTTATCAGTCTGCTGAGCAACAGAATCCACAAGATGAAAGAGATATGAAAACTCTTAACATAACCCTGAAATCTGAACATTAGCAAGTTTCTCTTTTGGGCCAACCTTAAGTGTTCCTCGTGCAGGAACTTTATTTGGAAAACAACACTCAGAAGCATCTGTGCTATTCCCAGAAGCTTCCCTCTTAACTACAAGTTTGTGTTTGAACTTCAACCATTTAGTCCTTTACTTACTGGAGCAGTGCAGCTTGACTGGAGGAAGGCAGAGTTCTTTAGCAATATCCGTGTTCTTGATTTTCAATGCTTCGTCAACCTGAAAAGCAGTTAGTGTGTGGTCACTGGTCATGTGAGGTAGCAAACGCCTTTGTAGCTCGTGTTGTAAGAGTGTTTTCGTGCTCAAGAGCCAAGAGAATCCTCATGGAAAAACATCTTAAATGCCAGGGGCAGTGAAGGATGCTGGAATTAAGGAATGTCTCAGACTCAGCTGGGGAGGGAATGAACCAAAGCACACCAGCGTTAGGGACTGAGTGCCACCAGAGGGATTGTTCCGTGCTTACCTTTTATCATAATATAGAAATGCATTTCTTTTCTCCTAGAAAAAAAAAGTGTAAGTAATCTAAAGGCACTCTAACTAAACTTCCTTTCAGAACCTGTGATCACCACGTTTTTGCTTTCTGCAGATGACACAAAGTACTTCCCTGCAAATGAACAAATATTTTTGGAAAAGACACCTATCGCCCTAGAAGGCAGGCCAGGGACTGACAGTCGCCAATTTCTAAGCGGCTGCAGTGCACAAAATCAGTGCCAGGATTGCTAGGCCACTGTTTCCTACGCACTCCGAACAGAGCACAGGCAGATTTGAAGCTCTGAAGGCTTCCCACCGTGTCACCCCCGACTCCGGCGAGGACCCTTACCGTTTTCCCTTTGACCCACTCTGTCGCCAGCGAGCTCGACGCGATCGCCGACCCGCAGCCGAAGGTTTTGAAACGGGCATCGACGATCCTCCCGCTCTCATCCACTTCCACCTGCCAGAGCATTAGCGGCACCTCAGCGGCCAGCTCAGCTCCCGCCAGTTGCCCCTGAGGCACTTTTTCAAGCCCAGGCAGGGCCCTGCCTCCTGCCGTGCCCCCAGGAGCGGGACAAGGCCTGCCCAGACCCCCGGGAACGGGGAGGGGGGTGGTGAGGGGGAAGGCCCGGCCGCACCCCTGAGGGGAAGTGGGCAGTTTGGGCCTCGCAGCAGCCCCAAGGCCACCCCATCCCCCGGTGCCAGCAGGTCCCCAAGGTCACCTGCAGCTTCATGACATCGCCGCAGGCCGGGGCGCCCACCAGGCCGGTGCCCACGTTCTTGGCGTTGCGGTCGAGCGAGCCGACATTGCGCGGGTTCTCGTAGTGATCCACTACCTGCGAAGACACCCGCGTCATCAACAGCCACCACCTGCCTTTCCCTTTTCCTTTCTCTTCCCCTCCCTCCAGCTTTCCACAGCCCCTCGCCCTTCACCTTCTTGTGGTAGCCCAGCCTGGTAGCCGCTGCCGCCTCGGGCCGCAGCAGGGCCGCTCCCACCACCCTCAGCGCCGCCATCTTGAGCCCGGCGGGAACGGCCAGCCCCCGCGCCACCCTTTTATAGCCTGGAGCAGGACAGCCACGCCCCCACAGGCCACGCCCCCTAACACAATGACCACGCCTCCCCACCGCCTCCGGCCCGCGTTTAATCCCCGAGCGCGGCGGTGGGGGCGCCGGGGAAAGGGTGCCCGGCGGAAAGAGCCTTGCGCTGCCGCTAAAACAATCAACAAACGCTGTCTCCAATCACGACGCCGTTTTTATCGCGACACGGGCCGTGTGTGCAGCGGCGGCCACACTCAATATGGCGGGCGGGCGGTGCCGCGCACGCCTTGGATCGCCTCGGAGGCCCCCAAGACGACCAGGCCCTGAGGTGTCCGGGGTGCCGCCTGCTCCTCAGCCGAGAAGACGAGGGGTCCGGGCCCGGCGGCGCTCACCGTAGCGCGGCCCCGGTGCGCAGCAGAGGGTGGAGTTCGGCGGGGAACGGCTCGCCGTTCTCCTCGCAGAGCTCACTCGGCGTCAGTCCGCGGCAGCGGGGCAGGCGTGGCGCGGACAGCCCCGGCGGCCGGCGGAGTGCGGCTGACTGCGAAGGGAGCTGCATAAGATGGCGGCGGCGGGAGCCGAGGCGGCTGCGGTGGCGGCGGAGGAGGAGAAGCAGCTACCGGAGGGCGACCCCGAGTCGGGGGGTGATTCTGAGGATGAGGGTGACTCGGACTCGTCTGGAGACGGCGAAGATGAGGAGAAGGAGAATGAGGCTGAGATCCAGCGGCTGGAGGAGCAGGTGGGGCCCAGCGGCGGTGTGGGGAGGGGGCGCTGGGGCAGCACCGCGGCCTCCGCCCGGCCCAGGCGCTTGGCCTGGGGGACGCGGGGCTGGGGGCCGGGCCTGGCGCTGCTGGTCCACCCGCCTGGCGATGATCGGCCCCGGGGCTCGGGGGGAGTCTCTTCCCGGAGGAGCGAGGCCTCCCTTCCCGGAGACTTCGGAGTGGAACGAGACCTGGCCTTTGAGGGGCTTCCTTTTTTGTGACTGCCTGCTGGAGCAGCTGCGGCGGTTATGAGGGGAAAAAAAAAAAAAATTATGATTACTCGTGTAGTTTGATGCTGGGAGCTGTCACAGTGTGAATGTTTAGAGTCTGAAATGGAGACGGTGTTTTGGGTTTCTTTTTTTTTTTTGAGAGGGGAAAATGGAGAGGAGAGCCCTAAGTGCACAGTTTGTACTTGTCAAAAAAAAAACTTTGCTAGCTCTCTGGGGTGGATTTTTTTATTGCTTTTGATGAAATTAAACCACATTTGGCTCTGTTGAAGGAGGCTTTCTTCATTTTGCACTCTCGGGTCTGCTTCTGCGGCTGGTAGCTGCTGTGCTTCTGGTGCTGGCATTTGCACTGCTGAGCAGTAACCTTTAGAGTTTAGAGCCATAAGCTAAGCTCTAAGCTTAAATTTAAATCTCTGTTAAACATGGAAGTGTTTTTTGTAAATGTCTGCTTGTGACCTGAAAGCATCTTTAAACAAGAGTGAAATTTGGTGTAACTTTGTGCAGGAAGGTAGATGTTGTGGCTGTGTGAACACATGATGAAATTTGTACACCACAAGAGTATGATGTTCTGTTCTGCTAAATTTCTGATTTCTTCATGTTCATCACTAAACAGTGCTTTTTAAAAAAATATATATTTTTTTCTTTTTAAAGCTTTCCATCAATGCTTTTGACTATAACTGCCACTTGGATCTGATAAAGCTGCTCCGCCAGGAAGGAGAGCTGGTAAAGCTCAGAAGAGCTCGTCAGAAGATGAGTGAACTCTTTCCACTTACTGAAGGTACAGAGCATCTTCTCCTTGTATTGGAGCTGACGCAGCTTAAGCATCATCTGTGTAACATATTCGTGTTTCAGTAGTGAAGTAATGGGTTTGTGCCAGGTTTTAACAATGTTGTTCCATCTCAGAGAAATGTAAAAGAACAGATTTGGGGCTTTTTAAACTGAATACTGCAGGAGTTAATGGCCAGCATGGAGCTTGGCCTGTGGCAGATGCAGGGTAGAGAGCTTGCTGCAGAAACTTGAGTTTTTGCGACTGCACCAACTTGCCCTGACCTCTGCCAGAGGCTGCTGCCATAGCGTGGAGCTGGTGGCAGGGGGTGTTTGTGTGTGACCACCTACCCCAGTCTTTGGTCGGTCTGTCTGTCTGTTAGCTGGGTGAATTGCTGCCAGGATGCACGATGCTGTAGCCTGGGGGCAGGCGTGGGTTTGCTTGTGCTGCCTTTGCTGTGGGGCTGGTAACATACAGCTGTGGGATGGCAGCACTGAGCTGGCTGCAGTCACTTAGTGAATGTGACTCAGAACCCAGGCAGACTTCTGCCAGAAGTTGAATTTCACCGTCAAGCAGCAAAAAAAAAATGACAATGTTGGTTGAAGTTGTAGGTAGCCCTTGAAGTGGATGTTTCTTTTTGACTTGTAACATGGAAGCAGTGTAAATATTGCAGAGGCTGCTCTGTCAGTATGCTTTTAGCCTTGGCAACTGAAGGTTTCCTTCTTATGCATGTGGAAGCTTGGAATCTCTAAAGCCATTTACTGTTTCTTGCAAAAGTGTGAGGCAAAGTGTACCTCTGGATGCCTCCTTGGTTACTGGTACATACTGATCCTCTGCCCAAGGTACTGAGAAATTACTGCTTGTAACACCTGCTCTCTTTAAATAGAACTGTGATTGTTTAGTACCAATATGCAAAGGTCTCTACCATATGTTTCTTTTAAATTAATTGTGAGTAGTTGTGGAGGTTAAAATCGTTCTTTTCACCCCCTTGGTACTCTCCCCATTTTTAGGTCTGTTATTAAAAACTCTAATTAAAAAAATCCAACAAGTGGATTTAATTTATTCTTTCTGAACATTGGTGATGTGTTCTAAACTACTTCCTTTCAGAAATTTGGCTGGACTGGTTGAAGGATGAGATAAAAATGGCTTCGGAAAGCTCTGAGCGAGAGAAAGTTTATGAGCTGTTTGAGAGAGCTGTGAAAGACTACATCTGTAAGTTGTTAACACGTGCTATAAAATGAATTGTATTGCATTCAGATTATGGCTTTCTTCTTCTAGGAAAGTTTCTTCCTTCTGTTATAATGCAGAAATTGGATCAAAAATATTAGTGTAAAGTGATCCTCAGTTTTTCTGAGGCATTGCAGTTAAGCTCATTCAAAGGTAATGCTTTAAGTACCACCACAGTCTTGAAGATCTTCTAAGAGAATGTTGTAAAAATTCTTAAATGCATATTTTGCACTTCTCTAATCTCTAAAAGCATGGGTTCTTTAGCTCTTTCTTTGAGAAAGGTGAATGCTTTTAAGAGGTTCATTTCTGCTTCTGTCTTATGTGTTGGTTAGCACTGTCTTTACTGCCACTTCCACTGTGTGACAGCTCTTTCATAACAGCTTGTAATTACTGTCTGGGAGAGAGTGTTCTTGAAAGCCTGTGAAGTAGGTAACCCTAGCTGTGTCACGGTACCAGGCTCTGATCATCCTCGTTAAAAGTGAGGGAAGTATGGGGTGTCTTGTCTCTCCATTTGTCAGGAGCTGCCTGCAGCCACAGCTTAAAACTTTTAGCTTAAAGCACTGAGTAACTGCGTGCTCTTTGGGTATTGTGGTAAGGTGCTGAAAACATGGAGCCTGAAGAGGCAGACAGGGCTTGGTAGCATCGAGGCTTGCAGAAGCTATAGACAAAATGGCACGCTACAGCACCGGCACAGCTGGCCTCCCAGGGTGTTTGGTGATCATTCAGGAAGAAGAAATGGAGAGATGAAGAACTGAGAGGATGTATCCTCTGGATATGCTAGATGGATTGCACTGGGGTTTGGAAGGACTTCTGGAGCCCGAGATGCGCAATCTAACATCTGTTGGTTGGATAGTCTCTGCTGGGGGTCCCTGAGCCTAATTTGCTTGGAGACTGATACTGGTGGGAGAGGTGCCAGGCAGCTAATGCTGTTCTAGCACCTCCTCACCTTCATGGTTACACTGCTTAAGCAGTTGCTGAACAGGCAAGTATAGGAGTCTGGAAAGAGAATCAAATAGGTCCTTCTTCTGAGTTGTGTAGGAATGCAACAGCTTCATGGTCCCAGCTCTGCACATGGGCTCAAGAAAACTGAATTTGCAGTTAGAGGGGTCTTGATGCATCTCTGATGTAGCTTGTGTACCAGAGGTGTACCACAGGAGTCAAGCGGTGTCAGTAACAACCACAAGAATGACTTCTTTTAGAAGAAAATGGTAGCTGCTAGTGCTGAACCGAGAGCATAGAATAAAATATTTTAACTTTACTACATTGGATGGTAGAGAAAAATAACATGTGTTGATCTATTTATATGCAGCAAATGAAGTGTGGGGGAAGCAGAGAGATGCCTTCTTTTTTAATATTTTGATGGGATTAGGTCATCTGTTTCTCATAACTTTGTTTAGGTCCTGAAATTTGGTTGGAATATGCCCAGTATTCAATTGGTGGCATTGGTCAGGAAGGAGGAATTGAAAAAGTTCGCTCAATATTTGAGAGGGCATTAACTGCGGTTGGACTGCATGTGACAAAAGGAACAGCTTTATGGGAAGCGTACCGCGAGTTTGAGAATGCCATACTGGAAACAGCACAGGTAAGGCTGCTTTCCTGGGCTCCTGTGAGAAACAAGTTGTGGTGTAGTTTCTGAAGTCATCTTATGCTGCCCCCTCATCAGTGTCTTCTGACAAAAGAGGCTGTAATATCACGCATTTGTTTCTTTTCAGCTGTAAAAACTGACCCTTTGGTCTGGGAAAAACATTCTGTGTATTTAGTTGATATAGTAATGGATTTGTATTTAAAGAAGATTATAAAATCTCATATCCAGACACAAAGTTTCACTTTGCTGCTCTAACTTGAACTGTCAAGAATAGCTTTAAATTGAGTAGCTTCATTATTAAACAGTGTTCTTGCCAGTGAATATTTTTGCCCAGTCAATCATGTTTACATTTCTAGAGTGTCTTCTACTTCAGCTTTTAACTCATTCATTATTGCACACTCTTTGTGACTTTTGGAGGGTGGTGTATTATTCCTGGAACATACAGGCTGACACCTGCAAAAGATACTTTTACAAGATGGCCAGAATGTGAATACTTCTTTTTGATTTCTTGTAGTTTACTATCTAAGAGATGGAAGTTAGAAGATGTCCCTACCCGTGGTAGGTGGAGGTGGAACTAGATGATCTTTAAAGGTTCTTTCCAACCCCATTCTGTGAAGTACTCTTAACAAAGGAGTAATGGCAGAATACCCTTCCATTCAC